TCGGTTGGTATGTCGAGAGGTGCTTGACCTGCAGGATGGTCAAGGTTGAACACCAGAGGCCGCATGGTAAGCTGCAGCCTCTAGAGATCCCCATGTGGAAATGGGAACATATCACGATGGACTTCATTACCAAGCTGCCGAGGACGGTGAAGGGATTTGATGCTATATGGATCATCGTGGATCGATTGACCAAGAGCGCCCATTTCTTGGCGATTCGGGAGAGTTCGTCGGCCGAGAAGTTGGCCGACGTGTATGTTCGTGAGATCGTGTCTCGCCATGGGGTTCCTGTTTCAATTGTCTCTGATCGGGATGTCAGGTTTACCTCCCATTTCTGGCAGAAATTTCACGAGGAGCTGGGCATGCGGTTGCACTTCAGCACAACATTCCATCCGCAGACTGATGGTCAGAGCGAGCGGACCACTCAGACCCTCGAGGATATGTTGAGGGCGTGTGTCAGTGATTTCAGTGGGAGCTGGGATTCTCACCTACCGCTTGCGGAGTTCGCTTACAACAACAGCTATCATTCCAGCATTGGCGCCCCGCCTTTCGAGTTGTTGTACGGGCGGAGATGTCGCACCCCGGTTTGTTGGGGAGAGGTTGGTCACAAGGTGATGGGCCGGACGGAGGTGGTCTTGCAGACTACCGAGAAGATTCAGCAGATTAGGCAGCGGCTGCAGACCGCTCAGAGTCGGCAGAAGAGTTACGCCGACCGACGCCGATCCGAGTTAGAGTTTTAGGTCGGTGACGTGGTACTCCTGAAGGTCTCACCCTGGAAGGGTGTAATCCGCTTCAGGAAGAGGGGAAAATTGGGTCCCCGATATATTGGGCCGTTCAGGATCATTGCCAGGGTTGGCAATGTGGCTTACAGGCTAGAGCTGCCGGAGGAGCTTAGTCGGATACACAGCACTTTCCACGTTTTGCAGCTGCGAAAGTGAATTATGGATCAAGAGGCGGTGGTATCGCTGGATGATATTCAGGTCGATGAACGCCTGAATTACGTAGAGAGGCCTGTGGCCATACTGGAGAAAAAGATGAAGATTCTGAGGAACAAGGAGATACCTTTGGTGAAGGTACAGTGGGAGCATCGGAGGGGGTCCGAGTGGACGTGGGAGCTAGAGGCAGAGATGCGGGAGCATTATCCAGAACAATTCATCGCGGCAGACTTCGAGGACGAAGTCTAGTTCAAGTGGGGGAGAATTGTAACACCCCGATTCTCAGGTATTGATTTAATATGTGAGTTTCTTGATTTCAAGGGCTACTCAACGAGTTGATTGCCCTACTCGTCGAGTAGCAGCGGGTTGGCCCACACATTTTAATGACCTACTCGCCGAGTCTAAGAAGGGACTCGACGAATAGGAGCTGGCATATGAAACCCTAAATCCCGGGGTTTTGCATCCTATTTAAAGGATCATTGGCCTCCCCCAGCCTCCCCTTTACTGCTTCTTGTCCCTCTCAAACCCTAATCGAGTGTGTGTGTTCTATTTGTGTATTCTTGAGCTTGGAAGAGGATTTTGTGGAGAAGGGAGCTTGGAGATCAAGTATTCAGAAGCAAGGAGCTTGTGGGATCTGAAACCTATCTTATTTGGCATCTTCTGGAAGGTATAAATCATTACCCTGACCTCATTTCATTTCTAGATCCCCTTTTTGGACAAATTATAGGGTTTTCATGGTATGTTTGGAAGCTATTCTTGTGTATAAGCTAAGATCTGAAGTTGTAACTACAGAACTGAACTTCCTTGGGATTCTAAGTCCATAAAATTTCCAACTCTTGCAAGGATGAGACTCTCCTAAGGAGTAAAAGCTCCATTAGAAGCTTAGATTGGTCATTTAGAGCCTCTAGGGCCTTGCATGCGTGTAAAGTTTGCAACTTTACATGAGAAACATGCCTTGGAAGCTTGGATCTGTAATCTGGAACCTTGGCATGGCTTAAAAAGGGTCTGCATGGATGAAGGTCTGAAAAGACTCGGCGAGTTGCATAGTTAACTCGGCGAGCCACATGAAGATGGCCATGTACTCGACGAGTTGGATGAACAACTCGGCGAGTCCGTTGAAGATTGCCTTGAACTCGACGAGTCGTTCGAAGACTCGGCGAGTCGGCTAAGGTTTCTCCCAATTCTTGTACACGTATGAACTCGTAGCGTTAAAGGGGAACTCGACGAGCCAATCAAGGATTTCACGACTTCTCGAGTTCAGGAAGGACTCGACGAGTCGGTGAACTACACTCGACGAGTCGAGTCAACATGGACTGTTGACTTTGACTATAGACTTTGACTTTGACCACGAGTTGACCAGTTGGCTTCTGAGGGTATTCTGGTAATTTGGAGATTTATGAAAAAGGGTTTTATGGTAACTATAGGTGGTGGAGTTCGTGTTGCTGATCCAGGACTTGAGCTTTCTAGTTTCAGACGACAGTTGTGAGGTGAGTTTTCCTCATAATACTTAGACGACAGTAAGTAGCCCCAAAATACCATACAGTTATTTGATTATGTGATATGTTAGAACAGCATGCTAGTGCTAGGCTAGGGATCTTTAGGAATTGCATGACAGAATTGCCTGATTGTATGATGCCTGATAGCCTAGGGTTTTCCTTATATGAAATTGACATCATTACTGTAGTTGCTTAGTGTATGCATCACGGCCGTACATAATTAAAATCTTATAGCCTAAGAATGTTTGATTTAGCCTTATGTTCTGTTCTTGTTTGATTGGGAGCTTAGGGTAGGATTGGATATTCGAAAGTCTATAGGGTCCATCGTTATGTATGGCTAGCATACACTAGTACTGCAGGGTTGGTGGAAGTTTCATGGATGGGTGAGTTGTGGGGGACCGGTAGGTCAGTCGTGAGACAGTTAGCTTTCCTCTAGGAGTGAAGATTGAGTGTTCTCTATGATATGTATGTTGTTAGGGTGTTGTGGTGATACTTGAGACAAATATGGGTAGGTGTGGAAGGTAGTATGGGCCCGTACTACTGGAAGCACAGGACCCATACACGTAGCAAGGAAGTCACAACCCCTAGGGATTTGTCGGGAGTTGGTTCCCAGTTAGTTATGCGGATTGTCTGATATCTTCCTGTTTTGTTTCAGAATGGCAGTTACGAGGCGTTTCACGTTGGGGTCCGGATCAGGATCAGGACAGGGTGATCAGGAGGCCCCAGTGGCACCTGAGGTTATCGGCCAGAAGGGGCCAATGTTGACAGAGGATCGGGTCAGGGAGATCATCCGCGGGGAAGTGGTCGAGATTGTACGGGGTCAGATTCCGGAGTTGTTCGGGACTATTAAGTCCACTATGATGGAGTATTTTGACGACATATATGCAGCCCTCGCTGAGACAGCTGCCGCTGCAGCCGCCGCGGCTGTAACAGCGAAAGGAGGGGGAGCGGGGCGAGTTTTTCAGTACGGGGACTTCGATAACACGAAGCCCCCTACTTTTGATGGGACGTAGGATCCCATCAAGTCTATGAGGTGGATCTCGGATGTGGAGGGGTGTTTCTTCACCTGCTCGTGTCCTACTGACTAGAAGGTCAGGTGTTCTCTGAACCTGCTAAGGTACGGGGCCAAGGACTGGTGGAGGCTTGCAACTGGGTCGTACACTGATGACCAAAGAGCTGCTGTTACTTGGGAGCAATTTAGAGACATGTTCCACGCCCGTTACATTCCGCGGGTCGAGCGGGAGCGTTTAGCACATGAGTTTCTGAGTTTGAGACAGGATGGGGAGTCGGTGACGAAGATCACCCGTATGTTCACTGAGAGGGCGATGTTTTGCCCGGAGTTTGCTTCCGAACAGGCTCAGATGAACCGTTATCTGAGCATGCTCAAGACTGACATCCGTCAGTTTGTGTCTACCCAACGATGTGATACACTTCTGGAGTTGCAGGAGGCCGCTAGACGACATGAGTTGGAGATTGAGCTGCAGTTGAGGGAGCAGCGGCAGGCCCCGACACAGTCACAGCCGGCGCCAAAGCGGTCCAAGACCGCTGATACGAGGACTTGGGGACAGCCAGGCCGCACTTGTGGGAAGTGCGGGAAGGCTCATTCAGGGATGTGCCGGACAGGGAGTGGGTGCCACAGATGTGGCAAGCAGGGCCATTTGGCCAGGGATTGCAGGCAGCCGACTTCGACTTCTGGAGTCTGGCTTTGCTATCATTGTGAGCAGGTGGGCCATATGAAGGCCCAATGTCCTCTTCTAGCCGCCAAGCCGGCGCAGGCTCCAGCGCCGACTACCTTGAGGATCCCCATGGGGGAGGTATGTGTGATTGTAGGCATGGACTGGCTCAGTCAGTTCGGTGCTATGATTGATTGCGAGGGTCAGCGAGTGGTAGTTCGAACCCCAAGTGGGGGAGAACTGATTGTATATGGCGAGGGCACCATAGTGGGATCTGGGTTTTGTTCAGCTGCCAGGGCTCGACAGTACATTCAACACGGGTGTGCGGGTTATCTAGCGTATGTGGTAGATACGCAAGTGAGAGATCAGACATCAGTTTCAGAGGTTCCGGTAGTTAGAGAGTTTGCTGATGTGTTCCCGGAGGAATTACCCGGAGTACCTTCGGAGAGGCGGGTCGAGTTCAGGATCGACCTGGTGCCAGGTGCGGCCCCTATCGCTAAGGCACCGTACCGATTGACACCACCAGAGATGCAGGAGCTGTCGTCACAGCTACAGGAACTGCTGATCAAGTAGTTAATTCGACCTAGCAGTTCTCCATGGGGAACACCGATTCTTTTTGTTCGGAAGAAGGACGGGTTGCACCGGATGTGCATTGACTACCGGGAGTTGAATAAGTTAACGGTGAAGAACCGTTACCCACTCCCGAGGATAGACGATCTCTTCGATCAGTTGTAGGGCGCATCTTGGTTTTCCAAGATAAACTTGAGGTCTGGGTATCATCAGGTCAGGGTCAGAGAGGAGGACGTGGAGAAGACCGCTGCTTTCCATGTCACAAATCGACTACCAGATCGAGCAAAAAAAGGTTCATGGTGGTTTGTTTGGTAGAAAATTTTTCTTGGATGGTTAGGGCAAGGGGAATCAAATCGACTACTGCTTTCCAAGTCACAAAAGTTGTTTACCAACACACATGCTGTGCAACAAACTTGGAGTCTAATCATCGACAATCAAAGAAAAAGGTACTCGGCCACTTTATCGCTGAAGTATTGGCCGGAGATTATAATAGAGTTTATCGGGGTAATGAAATTGTAAGGGACATCAATTCGAAATTTCCAATCAATATCTCATACCAACAGGCATGGTGGACAAAACAATATGCGTTGTTGATGTTAAGAGGTAAAAAAGAGGATTCATTCACCAAACTACCAGCGTATCTGCACAACTTGGTCAAGCATAATCCAGGAACTGTTACTCAGATAAGAACAGACACTGATAATTGATTTGGGTTCGTGTATATCGCGTTGGGTTGCTCGGTAAGCAGTGATAATTTTTTATAACAAATATAACATATGAATCCTAATTGGTATTTGTTAATGCAATAAAAAATAATTGTAGGTACAAGCGTTCATCAAATATTGTAGGCCGACCCTAATAATTGATGGTGGTCACCTAAAGGGTGAATTCAAGGGTACGATGTTGCTCGTAGTGACAATGGAGGGTCAAAATCAGATCATGCCTGTTGCTTATGCCATATGCAAAAGTGAATGTACGGAGACATGGTCCTGGTTTCTTCGAAAACTACGTGAATGTATAGGCAACGTGGAAGAACTTACATTCATATCTGATAGGGCTCCATCCATAGCGACGTCAATTGCAAATATATTTCCTCACGCCCATCATGAAATATGTGGTATCCATTTGTATTTCAACATTTCAGCAAAATTTGGAAGTAGCGATACAATACAAGCATTATTTTGGGAGACATGCAAAGCGTATACTATTAAAAAATTCGATAATGGGATGAAAAAAATTAAAAAGGTAAATGATCGTGTATGGGAATACCTAAAAAACATCAATCCAGAAAGATGGGTCAGGAGACATTTTCCTAGGAATCGGTATTTTCTTATAACATCAAATAGTGCGGAGTCGATAAATGCAATGTCAAGATTTGCAAGAAAGATGTTAATATTGATGTTGATTGAGTATTTTCGTGCAACAATGCAACAATGGAGTTTTCAGAAACGTACTGTAGCAGGTACTAATGTTTTATATGTAATAGTACTTGAAATGTTATTTTACTACTCATATGATATTATGAAACTATGTTTATTTTTTTTAGCTGAAGCAAAAACGACAGTCACCCCATGGGCTGAAACGATTGTATAAGAAAATAAGAATGCTTGTAATAATTGGATGGTGTACCCTATCTCAAATAGTAGATTTGAAGTGAAAATCTCTACTCACAAAAGTGTCATTGTTGATTTCCAACAAAGAACCTGTACATGTAGGCGGTGGCAAATAGATGGCTTACCTTGTGGCCATGTCATAAAAGTGCTCACAATGAACCGTTACAAAGACTGTTCGGAATTTGCTTTAAAAGCTTACTTTACAGAGACGCTTAGGAAAACTTACGACGAGTCTGTGAACCCCTTACCAAGTCCATCTGAGTGGGAGATCCCGGATGATTTGATGATTGTGAAGCCACCCATAATGGAGAGACGTCAGCCGGGTAGGCCAAGAAACACTGACTGTATTCCGTCGCAAGGTGAGCGTCCCATACGACAAGAATGTTCTACATGCGGTCATTTTGGACACACGAGGAACGATTGTACGGGTAGGGGATCGGGGAGCGGATCTGGGGGTAGGAAAAAATCGACACAAAAGGGCATAATGACTGATGAATTCGCATCCGGGAGCGGGTCACAGAACGAAAGCGTGTACCCTACTTTTGATTTGAACAACACATTTGATTTAAATTGTCCTTAGATTATTGTAGGAAAGTAATGAATTCCCGTATTTGTGATTTGTATTGCTTGTATTAAACTGCAATTCTGACATTATTAATTAAATCTAGTACCCCACTTATTATCTACATTATTCCATGAAAAATAAAACACAAACATAAAACATTATAGAAAACGAGATACATAAGTAGTAAACATTACATAACACATTTCACATATAAGAGCCTTCTACATGAAATATTTGTTATTTTTAACTAGAATCCAAGCATCCTCATACTCGAAGTCACTTCCCTCGTGCTCCAAAATGTAATGATCTTTAACCATTTCTAAAAGATCTTCGTCGTTGTTTAGATAACGATACCTATTTTTAAGATGATGATACCATCGATTGAACCATGTGATTTTTTTCTTTAAATCCATCCACTTACAAACAATATCTGCTTGTGTTCGGTGTTTTCCTTCTCCCAACGAGAGGTTAAACATAGCTGTTATGCGGGTCCATGCATCACCTTCAAAGCAATTAGGGTTAACCATGGTTGTTACATCCTCGTAAACGTTCATCCAACATCGTGTTACCGCCATTATCTCTCTTATCGTCCATGGATGTGGAGTATTGGATGGAGCAGCTGCATAGGAAGAAGTTGCTTGATTGGAGGCCATTTTTTATATTTGTCTGTTAGTTTGTTTTAATTTTATAAGAGTACTTAAATAAGAAAAAAGTCTGACAGACAATTAAGTGGATTCCCATAAGTACTGTTTGAAACTACATAAAACCGTAGTCAAATTGTCAGATACCTTACACGGAGATACTGTTTGAAACGACAAATATACTGTTCGAAAAGACAATACATTACGGAGGCTACAATGCAGTAGTGAAAGTCTATGAAACCGTAGTAAAAAAATGTCAAAGAGTAGTCCAATTGTCAGATACCTTACACGGAGATACTGTTTGAAACGACAAATATACTGTTCTAAAAGACAATACATTACGGAGGCTACAATGCAATAGTCAAAGTCTATGAAACCGTAGTCAAAAAATGTCAAAGAGTAGTCCAATTGTCAGATACCTTACATGGAGATACTGTTTGAAACGACAAATATATTGTTCGAAAAGACAATACATTACGGAGGCTACAATGCAGTAGTCAAAGTCTATGAAACCGTAGTCAAAAAATGTCAAAGAGTAGTCCAATTTTCAGATACCTTACACGGAGATACTGTTTGAAACGACAAATATACTGTTCGAAAAGACAATACATTACGGAGGCTACAATGCAGTAGTCAAAGTCTATGAAACCGTAGTAAAAAACTGTCAAAAGTAGTCCAATTGTTAGATACCTTACACGGAGATACTGTTTGAAACGGTAAATATACTGTTCGAAAAGATAATACATTATGGACCTTGCCTTTCCAGCTCCTACATACAAATGTATCCGCATGTGGTAAGCTCCTTCCCTCCACAACCTTAGGCATACTAAGTAATTGGTAATTGTCTCTTGTAACTGATTCGAAATGAGTTTCTATGACAGTGAGCATGAAGAAAGCTTTTACAACTTGCATGTTTACCTTCATAACCTAAGGCGAACCAACCCGCATACTCACACTCACATCAAAACGGATTTGATGGATCGTTTCCAATCTTGTTTTCTGGCTTTTGGATGGGTGGTATATTTGTTTTCCAAATTTATATTGTTTCTTTACATCTGATAATGTTTCTACATTTAAACTAATTGGTCTGCACTATTAAAAAATACAAGTCCATGCATTCATAAATTGTTTCTTGCCTGTAATCTTCATCTGTAGTGTCCGTCTTCTTCGAGGGAACTACCTAAAAACAATATTTGTAGCGGTTGCTAAAGACGGGAAAAATCTGACTTTCCCTATAGCATTTGGTATGGCGGTTGAAAATAATCTGGTAAGTTGTACCTGGTTCCTGATGAGGTTAAAAGAAAGTCTCGGACAGGGTAGGGAAGTAGCGTTCATATCCAATATGGACGATTTCGTTAGTTCTTGCATAGACAATGTTTTCACTGATTCTTATCATGGTTACACTTGTAAGAGCGTCCACAAATATTTACGTACAAGAGTAGGCTCTGGAAGATCATTGGAAACTTTGTACTGGATAACATTAAAATCCTACACCATGTCTATTTTTGAACAAAATTTTTCTAGGCTAAGCCGTGATGCTCATGAAGTGCTTACGAATATCGGTCATCCGAAATGTGCAAGAGCATATTTCCCTATCATCCGTTGGAATGTACTCGACATGGAAGTTCCTCAATATTTTTCAGTATTATTGCTCAATCAACGAAATGTACCAATAATAACGCTTATCGAGGGAATTCGTGAGTACATGCAAAATACTTTTGTTGAACGAAGTATAATGGCAGGTAAATTCTCGGGTGCAATATAAAAGTATTAAATAACCGGTACAACAACCTTTTATGACCATATTTATTTTTCAGGGAGTTTGACTACAGTACTAACACCGTATGCTCAAATGGTGGTTCAAATAAGGATGCAAAAGTCTGTTGGTTGGCAATCAACACAGATCCCCCAACAGATATCGTCTACCTTGCCGACATATGTTTATCTAGTTTCTGATTTTAAAACAACTTGTGTTGCAGACCTTAACGGTCATACTTGTTCGTGTGGCAAATGGCACAGTCTCGGTATAGCATGTGGTCATGCTATCACAGCAGCACGTCATTCAAACATGCATGAATTAGTTGATATGGTTAAAGTATATTACCATGCTGATGTATTTCAACTCGTCTACCAGACACAAACCGTTCACCCTCTTCCCCTACCATCTGAATGGGAAATACCAGACCCTTTGTTGGCTGTTTTATTGCCAAGGTAATTTTTATTCCCGTTAAATAATTATGTTTGTAATATATTTGTCATTGTGTATGTAATATATTTGCTATTGTGTTTGTAATATATTATTAATATATTATGTTTGTAATATATTTGACATTGTGTTTGTAATATATTAGAAATATATTATGTTTGTAATATAATTTCCATTGTCTTTGTAATATATTTTCCATTTGTTTGTGCTGTTAAAAACGACATAAAATAACATAAGTTGCCGTTTTCAGCTTAACATAAAAGTATGTTTTTAATTCTGATTTTTATGTTTTATATGTTGGTTACGTTCTTTGTACATAGTTGTTCATCGGAAAGTATCCAAATTTCAAATCCGATATCATTACCTCATTGGTTTTACCCTCCAAAGTATGCTTTGTGCTGTTAAAAACGACATAAAATAACATAAGTTGCCGTTTTCAGGTTACCATAAAAATATGTTTTTAATTCTGATTTTTATGTTTTATATGTTGGTTACGTTCTTCGTACATAGTTGTTCGTCGGAAAATATCCGGATTTCAAATCCGATATCATTACCTCATTGGTTTTACCCTCCAAAGTATGATTCGTGCTGTTAAAAACGACATAAAATAACATAAGTTGCCGTTTTCAGGTTACCATAAAAGTATGTTTTTAATCCTGATTTTTATGTTTTATATGTTGGT